CGAAGGCCGCAGTAGCTGCGTCCGCATGCGTCACCGCCACCCATTACGGCACACCCCTCACACGGTTCGTGGCCCCATAGGGAGCTCCACCGAAGGCCCCAGTGGCTGCGTCCTCATGCGTCACCGCCACCCAATTCGGCACACCCTTCACACGCTTCGTGGCCCCATAAGGAGCTCCACCGAAGGCTCCAGTGGCAGGGTCCGCATGCGTCACCGCAACCCATTACCGCACACCCCTCACACGATTCGTGGCCCCATAGGGAGCTACACCGAAGGCCACCGTGGCTGCGTCCGCATGCGCCACCGCCACCCAGGACAACGTTTCGTTGCCCCATAGGGAGTTCCACCGAAGGCTCCAGTGGCAGGGTCCGCATGCGTCACCGCCACCCAGGACAGCGTGTCGTGGCCCCATAGGGAGCTCCACCGAAGGCTCCAGTGGCAGGGTCCGCATGCGTCGCCGCCACCCAGGACAGCGTTTCGTGGCCCCATAGGGAGCTCCACTCAAGGCTCCAGTGGCAAGGTCCGCATGCGCCACCGCCACCCATTACCGCACACCCCTCACACGGTTCGTGGCCCCATAGGGAGCTCCACCGAAAGCTTCAATGGCTGCGTCCGCATGCGTCACCGCAACCCATTACCGCACACCCCTCACACGGTTCGTGGCCCCATAGGGAGCCCCACCGAAGGCTCCAGTGGCAGGGTCCGCATGCGTCATCGCCACCCAGGACAGCGCTTCGTGGCCCCGTAGGGAACTCCACCGAAGGCTCCAGTGGCAGGCAGCGTTTCGTGGCCCCACAGGGAGCTCCATCGAAAGCTCCAGTGGCAGGGTCCGCATGCGTCACCGCCAACCAGGACTCCACCGAAAGCTCCAGTGGCAGGGTCCGCATGCGTCACCGCCACCCAGGACAGCGTCTCGTGGCCCCATATGGAGCTCCACCGAAGGCTCCAGTGGCAAGGTCCGCATGCGTCACCGCCACCCATTACCGCACACCCCTCACACGGTTCGTGGCACCATAGGGAGCTCCACCGAAGGCCCCAGTGGCTGCGTCCGCATGCGCCACCGCCACCCATTACCGCACACCCCTCACACGGTTCGTGGCCCCATAGGGAGCCCCACCGAAGGCTCCAGTGGCAGGGTCCGCATGCGCCACCGCCACCCAGGACAGCGCTTCGTGGCCCCATATGGAGCTCCACCGAAGGCTCCAGTGGCAGGGTCCGCGTGCGCCACCGCCACCCAGGACAGCGTTTCGTGGCCCCACAGGGAGCTCCACCGAAGGCTCCAGTGGCAGGGTCCGCATGCGTCACCGCCACCCACGGACAGCGTTTCGTGGCCCCATAGGGAGCTCCACCGAAGGCTCCAGTGGCAGGGACGTGGTGGGAGCGTGGGGGGGGGCGTCGGTGGGTTCCGGGCGAGAAATTGCGGCGTGGGAGGTCCCAAGAACGGAGCTGCCGTGCATGGGGGTGTCGGGACGTGGTGGGAGCGTGGGGGGGGGCGTCGGTGGGTTCCGGGCGAGAAATTGCGGTGTGGGGGGTCCCAAGAACGGAGCTGCCGTGGATGGGGGTGTCGGGACGCGGTGGGAGCGCGGGGGGGGGCGTCGGTGGGTTCCGGGCGAGAAATTGCGGGGTGGGAGGTCCCAAGAACGGAGCTGCCGTGGATGGGGGTGTCGGGGCGTGGTGGGAGCCTCGCGCTTCGTGGCCCCATAGGGAGCTCCACCGAAAGCGGTACCCACAATGCGGCACTCGCAATTGCATTGGTTGGGTCCTTCGGCAGGCTAATGTTTTTTTTCTCCCTCCGCGGAAGAATGCACACAACCACCGGTTCAACCACCTGCGATGCTCAGCGCTTGTGGGAGACCGTCCCGCCGGCCGCCGCCTGCGAGCCGCAGAGCGCCTTGATTCTGCTCATGGAACTCTCGATGCTCTCTCGAAGCGCTTGGAGCTCTTTTGGCCTCATGGGGTCAGGAAGCTTTTCGAGCCTGCCCTCGATGGCACTCAGCTGGTCGCTCTGTGAGGTCATGCTGTCCCTGGTGGCGCTCTCGTAGCCCATTACGTTATCCACGAGAGACATGATCATTCCAAACATGCTCCCGACAGTGATGGCCGTCTTGACAATTAACGAGTCGGTGATAACAAGGCTGTCGCCTACAGCGATGCCGAAGTCGGTTTCGTCCATCACCGCCTGGATGGCCGAAATCTGTGTGTGCAGCATGGGCTGCTGGCAACGGAAGTCATGGATACCCCGGCGCAAATCTTTGACTGCTGCCGAGATACGAAAAGGTGCAGTAGCGAAGGCCTGTGCGATGGCAACAGTGATCAAGCCGCTGGACGCAAACCTCAACATATGCTTCCACACCTTCCACCCGCGGAGGCCATGAACGCCTACAAGAAGTTTTACTGTCCGGGTGTTCCCGTAGACCCAGAAGATCTGATGCGGCACTCCAGCTGCGATCAGCAGCAGTGGGGCACCAAGCTGGGCAAGTGCAGGGCGGTTCTCTTCCAGGAAGGCTACCACTGGCTCGTGTATCCGCTCCCGGAAATTTTCTTCGCCAGCAGGCACGACGAGGTCTGCCATGCGCTTCTGCACCCCGTCGCTGATGCTCGCGAGTGCGCATGTGAGGCCGCAGGTGATGGACGACTCTAAGATGACTTTGAACATGAATAAGAATTCCAGAATCCCGCTGCTTTCGAGCAAGCTGGTTCCAGTAACCACATCACCAGACCGTTCAACAACTTTCATAATCGATACAATCATCAGAAGTGCCGTCGCAGCACGACTGTCTGCGAGATCGGTCTGGACTTCCTGCAGCAGCGGGCATTCCTTCACCTTGTATGCTCCCCAGCCCAGCCCGATGTAGTAGACCATCTCCGAAGCGCGCACCAACTTCACAGCCGTGGTCAATTCATCCTTCACCAATATCAGCCGTGCCGAACGGGACAGTGTCGCCAGGCCAACGAGTCCCAACGCCGCTGGGCCAGGCAAGAACCGATTGGGGTGTTGCGACCCGTCTAGATCGTCTGCCCCCCGCGGGCGAACAGCTCCGTAGAGCATGCCAAGCAGAGCCCCTGAGCATGCCACGCTATCCACCCAGTCCAAAATTCTTGCCATTCCATCACGGCTCGTCCACGAGAACTTCCGAACGACGAGGGTGTACGGCTGGGAGCCTGTTGCCGCGCGACCGTAGCTCCCTTCGTTAAACTTGTCGCCATTGATGCTCACGGGGGTATCTCCGACCTGCACCCCCGCTTTCTCGGCCTGGCTCCCTTTCTCCACCTTCGTAACCGTCCACTCAATGTTGTGGCCAATCCCAGTCTTCCCGGGCTTTAGATTCACGGCGAGCTCCCTGGCCTTAGCGCAACTTGAAACTGTGCAAACATACATTTTCGAGGGCCCGCGTGGCTTCATTGGATCAGCGCTGGGTACCCCCTGGCGGTGCCTCCGACGCCGCCACTGGCGCGCTCTGCGCTCCAGCGCCGATCCAAGAAGTCCGACGAGAAGCCTGGCCCAAAAAAGACGAAACACGCCAGGGAGGGCCTCCCCTGTCCCCTGTCCCCCTTGTCATCGAGTCCTCCAGCTTGGGCGCGTCCTTCGCCCCCTCGCCCTGCTGCTGGGGGTCGAGCCTGGCGGCCCGCTTGGAGGGAACGCCGGCGTGCAGCGACGTCCACGCGCAAGGCCCTCGCCGACCCAGCCCGCCCACGGGGCGCGCAGGGCCGAAGAAGTCGGCGGCCCTCCGGGCGCTGGCCGCGCTCGGGGCCGCCAGGCTGTCGAGCGCCAGGGTCGGCCTTTGGAGGGAGAGAGGGAGCACGGCAGACGCACGGGCTCTGGGAGCTGCTCGCGGATTCCTTGCATCGGCGCCTGGCCCACGCTGCTGGTGCGCGCAGCTCGCCAGAGGCGGCGCCAGAGGCGCCGCCAGCGAGGGTCTCCAGCGCAGATCCAAGGCATCCGCGCGGAGCTTCGAAACGTGATGCGGACGGCGTTCTTCCGGCCTCGCAGCCTGGAGCTGTAGCCTCTGGAGACTGGCGGCGCGGCGTGGGTGTCGTAGCCGTCTGCCGCCGCCCAGAGGAAGTCGCGGAAGCGGCCCGGGGGCATGGCGGGCCCTCCGGGCTGATCCGAGTCGGCGGCCAGGCCTGAGCCGAAGTTGAAAAAAGGGGACCTCTCGGGCCCTCTTTGGCCGTCTTGTCCGTCGGGTGCGCCGCAGCGGGTGGCCAGCGCAACGCAGCATGGCCCGAGGGATGTGCGCGGACGAGGGGGGCGCCAGGGGGCGTGTTGAACGAAGAGCACTGTGAGGAGTAGTTGCGAGAATAGCAAGCATAATAATAAGTAAGGGCCATGACCCCGTGGAGGTTGCATGGCCCCAGCCATGATATCCCCCCTTGGTCCTCATCCCCCTCCGACGCCCGCGACTTCCCTCTGCTTCTTCTCCTGCTTCCGGGTCACGCGACATGTCCACCCTGCCAGGCGTGCCACCCCCATCTGGAGCGGGCAGTCGGGTCTCCACCCTGTGGGATGCTCGCCTCGCTGCCAGGAGGACGAGGAGGAGGAGGAGGCTTTCACGACGGATGATGAATGATCGGCGAGGAGGGGAGGGAGGACTCTGAGGACTCTGATGAGGCGGACGGGGCTGCAACCCTCTACACGCTGCCAAACGAGGACAATCAACCGACGCTCTTCTGCTGATCCCAAACAGTACCAGTGCCGTCAAGCAAAGAACATCCGCAACAACAGGACGACGGGGAGAACGAGGCGGATGCATCGGCGGAGAATCAGGGAGCAATGATGATGAGGACGAGAAAGGAAACAATGATCACACGAATGTGGCTGAGGAACATGGAGGACGGGGGGGAGCAGGAGGAGGATGAAGCCGAGCAGGAATGGAACATGGCACTCATAAGGAGATGTGAGGAGAAGGACAAGGAGGAACATCAGGTGGATTATGGAAATGATGCGGATGAAGATGAGAAGAGACGTGGAGGGATACTATGCATGAAAACGACGCGCGCGCCTGAAGGACGAAAGGGTCGTCCCCAGTCTTCTGCTGCACCATGCGGTAGTCGTGATAGAGCGCCTTGAGTAGCCCCAGACGTCTGAGCAAAAGATTATACACCTGCGGGCACCGGAACACACAAGAAACGGAAATGCAGACGGACGAGGCGGAGGACGACGAGGACGCAGACGAACACGAGAAGGACGTGGACCATTCTGGGGAGACAGGCAAGTAGCATGATGAAGATGAGGAGGCGGATTGCGACGATACTATGTCGGCCACTGAGGACAATGATGCTAGTGATGGTGCTGGTGATGATGACGATGCTGATGCTGATGCTGATGCTGATGATGCTGCTGATGATGATCACGACGTCGAGGAGGAGGAGGAGGAGGACGAAGAGGAGGCAGGAGAAGTAGCATTCTGACAAGGAGGAAAGAAGGGCAACGGGCGAGGATTGGTTGCTTCTTGTACTGTTTCGCTAAGAAGAGATTGTAGGTGGCAGAAAAGAACAGAACAATCCCAAACGAGGGACAAGAAACCCAAACCGCGCGGTGCGACAGCTGGTCTGGCAACTGTTTCGCCTGAGACCTCCCTCAATGTAGGGAACAATCGCGCTCTCGCCTCCATGCCAATTATAATTTTCCCGACCATCCTGTGGTGTTGGGCCCTCGTTTTGAAGAGACGGTCCCCGGGTTCCTCTCCTCCTCTTCCCCCTCCTCCTCCCTCCTCCCTCTTCCAGTTCTCCTCTCCTCTCCTCCTCCTCCTCCTCCTCCTTCTCCTCCTCCCACTCCTCCCTCCTCCTCCCTCCTCCCCTTTCTTCCTGCGTTTCATCCACCCGATACAACGTTTCGTGGCCCCATACTAGGGAGCCCCACCTACGGTCCCAGTGCTACGGTCCGCATGCGTCCTGCACACCCAGTACAGCGTGTCGTGGCCCTCCCTCCAATACAGCGTTTCGTGGCCCCATAGGGAGCCGCACCGAAGGTCCCAGTGCTACCGTCCGCAAGCGTCCCGCACACCCAGTACAGCGTTTCGTGGCCCCATAGGGAGCTCCACCGAAGGCCCTAGTGCCCCCGTCCGCATGCGTCCCGAAAGCCCAATTTGGCATTTTCACCCACCCAATGTAGCGTTTCGTGGCCCCATGAGGGGGCCCCACCCAAGGCCCCAGTGCCACCGTCCGTATACGCCCGGGACATGTAATTTGGCATTTTCACCCGCGCAGTGCAGCGTTTCGTGGCCCCATAAGGGGGCTCCTCCGAAGCCCCCAATGGGACCGTCCGCATGCGTCCCAAAAAACCCAATTTGGCATTTTCACTCACTCAGTAGAGCGCTTCGTGGCCCCATAGGGAGCTCCACCGAAGCCCTCAGTGGGACCGTCCGCATGCGTCCCGGAAACCCAATTCGGCACACCACCCATACAGTACAGCGTTCCCCCCCGCCCAGTGCAGCGCTTCGTGGCCCATAGGGAGCTTCACCGAAGCAGATATTCACACTTGCGGCACCCACAACTGAATATGGTTGGGACCTTCGCCAGAATACTTTGTTTTGGACGGCAATGGCCGCTGGTAAAATTTACCCGAGGCCTACCCAAGCCCTTCTCCACGCGAGGCGCATGTTTGCATGAACGATATATATATATATATATATATACATATAACTATATGTATATATGTTTATATATATATATATATATAACATACATACATATACCCGTCTACGAGGCCTGAGGGCCCAGGGCCGGGACCTCGACAGCGAGCGCATGGGAGGAACGGGGGGGCCAGAGGTGCAGAGAGCCCCTTTGCGCCCCCGATTGGACAGAAACTCACCTGCAGACGCACATGATCGCCTCCAGATGGCCCATTACGCTCCCATGGCGCTCCACGAAGGCTTCCACGAATGCTTCCAGACGGCCCAAACGCCACCCAGACGCTCAAAGAGGATTCCAAGACGCCTCCCAAGAGGGCGGCAAGAGGCAACATCCATTGGTTTTCCAAGGGTTTTCGAAGGTTTCTTGGGGTTCCGCCTTTCCAGCGTGCCGCCGCTCCACAACAGCGCCAGAGGCACAAAAGCTCGTCCCGAGGCGGCTTCAGAGGCCCGCACGAAGGCGTCCACACTGCCCGAGAGGCCATAGAGACGCCCCAAGAGACCTCCAGGAAAGCCCAGACAGGCAACGTACTCCTTACAAAATCAATCCCACACGCTCGTCACGGCCCCCGGGGGGGCTCACAACGATCCCATGGCGCTCCGCGAAAGCTTCAAGACAGCCTACAATGCCCCCAACACGCTCCAAAAGGGTTCCAAGGCGCCCTCGAGGAGGGCCCCAAGAGCCAACAATTGTTTATGTTACACCGCTTTCTGATAGTTTTTCCATGCGTTCCCCTCTTCACCTTGCCGACGCTCCCAGACAGCCCCAGAAATACAAAAGCTCACCCTAAGACCGAACACGAGGCCCCCAGGAGGGCGCCCAGACTTCCCACGACGCACCAAAGACGACCCAAACGACCTTCAGGACAGCTGAACAAGGCCACGAAGCGTTGGTAAATCACTCCCAGGCTCATGCTGGCTCCCACGTGCCAGCCCCCCAGATGGACCACAAAACCCTCAGAACGCTTCCAGACGATTCCCATACGTTGCCCAATAGGGCCCCACGAGGCACAATTTGTGTGCTTTCGATGGGTTTTCGACGGTGATCTGTGCTTCCCCTTGTCGCCAAAAGTCACGTCATCACGGCTTATGAGGTCGGGCGCCCACACTGCCCAAGAGACCCCAACGACGCACGCCCCAAGAGTCCTCCGGGATTATCCAAAGAATGTTTTGGATTTCTCAAGAACCTCTCCCACAACAGCCTCAGATGCCCCGGAGCGCGCCCCAACACGGCTCCACGTACATACATGTACATACATACATCCGTCCATACCTGCCTACCGACCTACCCAATTACGTACATACATACATAGACGCATACACATGCACATGCACATGCACATGCACATGCACATACACATACACATACATATACACATGCACATGCACATGCACATACACATACACATGCACATGCAAATACACATACATATTTGTTTCCAACACGGACCGGTGGTAATGAAGGTTTATCAATGTAATGCGATCAAGTGCCTTGAAACCCATTCAACATGTCACGGAGTTGGTGCCGAGGGCGAGGAGAAGAAGGAACGACGAAACACTAGCCTGAAAAGGTGCGCCGGCCAACCTGCAATAGGCGAGCCGATCCGCGTCGACGAAATCAGGAAGACGTGGCGGATGAGCAGATTTATACAGCCCCTAAAGCCCAGATGGCCATACATCATAAATCCGCCAACAGAGGAAGGGGACATGAGGAGGAGGAGCAGCAGGAGGGAGGGAAGGCGGGAGGGAGGGAGGAAGACTGCACAAACGGAACCAACACCTGGAGCAGGCTTTCCGCCACTGCTTAGGAGAACGCTCTCCCAACAAAACGTGGCTCGTTTCCCAACGATCGTCCACGCATTACCCGGACCGATGCTGGTGTGAAATCTAAACGCTTCGCGTATCCCCACCATCCCGTAGCCTCGGCTCAAGGCCGCTCTGGCTCGAACTGGCCTCAGCGGCTGGCCGGCCGTGGCCGGGGGCCTGCCCTTCGGTCCTCGGCCTCCCCGCCCGCGGGGGCGTGCGAGGGGTTCGCCCCCCTCCGCGCCCCCGCTCGCTCGGCCATGGAGTCGCGCTCGGCGCGGCGGCGGCGGCAGCGGCACGCCGCCGCCTGCCGCGCCGCCGCCGCGGCCGGCCCGGCCGGCCTGCCGCCGCCGCGGCCCGGCGTGGCCCCTGGCCTCGGCGTGGCCGGCGGCGCCGCCGCCGCGGCCGCCGCCGCCGCAGCGGCCGCCGCGGCTGTGGCGGCCGGCCGGCGAGACCGCCGCGGCCGCCGGCGCCGTGGCGCGCGCCGCGGCTCTGGGGCCTGCCGCGGCGGCAGCGGCCGCCGCGGGTGCGGCGGCCGCCGCCGTGGCCGCCGCGGCCGCTGGTGCCGCCGCTCCCGCTGCAGCTGGTGTCGCGGCCGCCGCTGCCGCCGCCGCCGCCGCGGCCGCTGAAGCTGGCGCCCAACATCATCTCCTACGTCATCCTGAACAGCTGGTGCGAGAAGGGCAGGCGTTGGCACGGGCAGCTGGCCGTGGCGCTGGTGAGCGAGATCCTGGTCGTGAAGCTGGAGCCCAACATCATCACGTACGGCACTGTGAACAGCGCGTGCGAGATGAGCAGGCGTTGGCAGCGGCAACAGGTTGTGGCGCTGCTAATCGAGGCCCCGGTCGTGAAGCTGAAGCCCAGGTTCATCAACTCTGGCACGGTGAACAGCGCATGCGAGAAGAGCAGGCGTCGGCAGTGGCAGCAGGCAGTGCTGCTGCTGGGCGAGATGGTGGCCGCGAAGCTGGAGCCCACCACCATCGCCAACGGCGCTGTGAAGAGCGCGTGCGAGAAGAACAGGCGGCAGCAGTGGCAGCAGGCTGTGGCGCTGCCGAGCGAGGTTTTGGCTGCGCAGCTGGGGCCCAACATCATCACCTTCGCGGTGTTGACGTCCAGCGACCCCGCGGCGGACATTGCGAACGGCCGCCTTGCCAGGTCGGCGATCCTCGGCATGCTCCTCCAGGACTACCGGATTGGCTCCGCCCAAGGCGATGGGGTGCTGTACGCTGGATCCCCGCTGCGCGCCGTCAAGTCCGAGAGCGAGCTGGGCGTTCAGGACCCCTCGGGCCTTTGGGGCCCTGCTAGCTGCACAGCGGATGGCTGCGCGGAGAATCTCGCTCACCAGTGGCAGGCAGAGCTGAAGAACGGCCGCGTGAGCATGCTGGCGACCATGGGCTACATCGCGCCTGACATCGCTGGCAAGATGCTCAAGTCGCCTTCGGCTGACGTGGAGTTCGCGGACAGCCGGCGCGGGCTCGTGGTGCTCCCGAAGGTTCCTGCCGCTGCCTGGGCACAGATCGTGGCGCCTGGCGCTGACGCGAGAGATCTCGATACCCATAACGGCATCTCGGAACATAGTTGCTGTATCAGCAGTAACGTGCCACCCCCCGCTCCGTTGGCAGATGATGACATCCCAGAGGGGAACCGAGAGGTGGTTGATGAGGCGGACG